TACAGCTCTCAGCCGGTCGAGTCCCCTTTTTCACACAAGGTGTTCAGGATTGTATGGTATTTTACTGCTATTTATTTATTCTTGAGACAGAGTCTGGACCTCATGTCCCCAGGGCTGGGGTGCTAGTGGGTGTGATCTGGCTCCAACATACAACCTCCAGGCCTCCCAGGTTCAAGTGGATTCTTCTGGCCAGCCTCACGAGTAGCTGGGGACTACACAGTGCCCGCCACCATGCCCAGCTAACTTTTGTAATTTTTAGTAGAGGCGGGGTTCACCATGATGGCCAGGATGGTCTCCATCTCATGTGACCTTGTGATCTGCTACTGCCTTGGCGCTCCCAAAGGCTTTGGGATTGTACCAGGCATTGAGCCACCTACACCCAGCCGGGTATATTTTTTCTTAGAGCGCACTTCTCGCATCAGGCAGATGTGGCTCTCGGTGCCACAACAACTCTGCCTCAACAGGTTCAGAGAATTCCTCTTGCCTCTCAGCCCTCCGGAGCTTAGCTTGGGATTTAGGCGCCTGCCCACTATGCCTCTCTAATTTTGGTATTTTAGTATTTAGGAGATGGGGGTTTTCATCATGTTGGCCAGGTGGTCTCGAACTCCTGACCTCACAGGATCCATCCACCTTTGCCTCCAAAATGCTGGTATTACAAGCGTGAGCCCACTGCAGCCTGGCCAGTTGATCAACTTTCAAAGAAAGAATATTCACACAATTCTAGATTTAGAGAAGTTTATGAAGCGAGGCGGGCCGGGTGGCTCACACCTGTGAATCCCAGCAATATTGAAAGGCTGAGGGCGGCCAAATCCATGATGCCAGTTCTAAGACCAGCCTGGTTCAACATGGTGAAAACCCATTCTCTACTAAAAATACAAAATTAGCCGGCGTGGTGGTGCATGCCTGTAATCCCAGCTACTTGCAAGACTGAGCAGGAGAATCACTTGAACGCTGGGAGGGCGGGCTGCAGTGAGGGCCGAGATCATGCCATTGCACTTCAGCCTGGGTACAGAGAGGATTCCCCATCCCAAAAAAAAAAAAAAGAAAAAAAAAAGAAAGAACGGAAAAGGGGAGTGGCTTGGTCTGAGGACACTGAGCTGTGGGACAGGACGTCACAGACGACGAACTCATTCTTGGCACTTACCAGCTGGTTTCTGCCACCTCTTCAGTATCTTCAGGAACCAGGGTTACCACGAACACCCTATTAGAGTGGCCAAAATTCTAATCGCAGACGATACACATACTGGCATACTGCGAGAGGACGTGGAGCAAGAGGAACTCCTCATTCATTTGCTGGGTGGGGATTGCAAATGGTCCAGCCACTTTGGGAGACAGATGTGGCAATTTCTTCTAAGAAATAAATATAGGCCTTACCATAGAATCCAGCAATACCTTTCCTTGGTATTTACCGAGGGAACTGAAAACGTCACGGGCACATAAAACACATATTGACTTTACGGTAACTTTATTCATAATTGCCCAAACTTGGAAGCCACGAGATGCTCTGCAGTGAGTGAGTGGATTAACTGGTGTCCAGACATATGGAATATTACCCGGCGAAGAAGATATTGCTCTCAAGTCACGAAAAGATGTGGAGTGAGAGCGAAATGTATATCATCTACATGAAAGAAGTCAGCCCAATAGGAGGATCCACTGTCTGAGTCCAACTATGTGACACTCTAGAAAAGGCAAAACTATAGAAAGAGTGAAAAGTTCATTGGTTACCAGAATAAAAGGCTTGGACAAGAGGAAATCATCCCAGTGGAAATGGAGAAACGCAGGAACAAATGAAGAGCAACAGAAGAAGCTAAATATTTGGGTAAAGACAGGAATTTTCAATGATGATTTCATCATGAATGAATTAAGGAAACATTCATGCATGCTCATTCCGTATTTGATGACATTGCAAACATTGTTTTGAAAACTGTACTTTGCACTAAAATTAAAAAAGAGGCTGAGGACAGTGGCTCATGCCTGTAATCCCAGCACTTTGGGAGGCTGAGGCGAGCAGATCACCTGAGGGCAGGAGTTCAAGACCAGCCTGGTCAACATGGCGAAACCCCATCTCTACTAAACATACAACAATTAGCTGGGCCGGGCGCGGTGGCTCAAGCCTGTAATCCCAGCACTTTGGGAGGCCGAGACGGGTGGATCACGAGGTCAGGAGATCGAGACCATCCTGGCTAACATGGTAAAACCCCGTCTCTACTAAAAAATAACAAAAAAAACTAGCCGGGCGATGTGGCGGACGCCTGTAGTCCCAGCTACTCGGGAGGCTGAGGCAGGAGAATGGCGTGAACCCGGGAGGCGGAGCTTGCAGTGAGCTGAGATCCGGCCACTGCACTCCAGCCTGGGCGACAGAGCAAGACTCTGTCTCAAAAAAAAACAAAAAAACAAAAAAAAAACACGAACAATTAGCTGGGTGTGGGGTCACGCGCCTGTAATCCCAGCTACTCGGATGGCTGAGGCAGGAGGATCGCTGGAGCCCGGGAAGTGGAGGCTGCAGTGAGCTGACATTGCACCATTGCACTCCAGCCTCGGTGATGGAGAGAGACCTATCTTAAATAAATAAAAATTTTAAATGACAGCATATATATATACATGCACACACACACATATGTGTATATACACACATGCATATATGTATATACACACATATGTCCATAGACACATGTGTATACACACATGTATATACACATATGTGTCCATATACACACGTGTATACACACATATGTATATACACATATGTGTCCATATACACACGTGCATACACACATATATGTATATGCACACATATATTATATATGTGTGTATATATACATATATGTATATATACACATACATGCATATGTATATATACACATATATGTATATATACACACACACCCCAAATAGACACATCGATGAGAGAACACTATATTTACAAAAGTGCAAGGGAAATTTGAACATAAGACTTCAGATGCTGATTATGGTAGCTGAGGTAGCCAAGGCAATATGAGGCAAGGGCTTGCTCCTAATTAAGTGCCTGACAGGAACCGTATCTCCGTCCAATCCTTCATTCAAAGGAGGCGCAATTTGCTTTTACCAAATGTAAAACTCACGTCAAAACCGTGGTGTGAGTATTTACACCAAGAAATCGGCAAACGCTACACGCAGGGTTGTTTTCTGTGCTTTCCTTTTGCTTTTTTTTTCAAGAGCTGATGGTCAAGCCTTTACCAGCACACCACTGGTAAATTTCCAAGGGCCCATTTAAAGAAAATTTTTTTTACAGAACACGTAAAAAACATCAACGTGAAGTCACATGCTCCGAGAAAACAGAGAATTGATAAAAGCATGACTATTTCTGGTAGCACATACTCTACCGTTTCCCCCCTCCT